TATAAATTTACAGCTTTCTGACGATGCTCTGACATTTGATATGGCTAATGGTGTTATGACAATCGACTATTCGCCATTTGGCCTTTCATTTTCTTTTTTAGATGTTCTGGTTTTTCAGTAGTGTTTGTTTGGAACTAGTTTTCGGTTTTATTTCGGTTGATTTTGATACGATTTATGATTGGAAATCGATGAGTTTATGCTTTGGTTTGATCTTTGGAAACATGATCTTAATTCAGACTTTCGGTAGAGTTCTTGTATTATCATTAATGAATTTTAAAAGTTGGTATTTATAATGCAAATATCTGTATAATATCGATCTCCTTTATAATATAATCAATATAAAATTTAACATTTTTGAGCATCCCTTTAGAACTTATTTTTGAAGTAAATCTTCCTATAATTTTATTTTCTAAAATTTCATTTCATTTATGGTTATTTTTTAAGCTCCACTCCATCGTTTTTGCAAACAATCTATAGACCTTACCGAATGATAAATTCATCAAATATTTCATCTCAAAAATGAATCTTTCAAAACATTCAACCATAAACGTATTCAATCGTTGCCTCATTTATTAGCGCCATCACCCGTATATACGAATTCCCATCCCACCCACACGAAACCCATCATCATAATCATCGTTGGCATCTGTATTATTATCATTATGATGATCTGCCAAGCGGCAAGAAGAAATACTCCTCCGGCATATACTCATCCGCGTATCGTTTCTCCCACACACACACACACACACACGTACGGAAACAGATGAGAAATGGGAATTATAGCTCCTCCAACTCTCTCTCGTCGGCACATAATTAGGTGAGAGCATGCGTACAGAGATCTCCTTAGGGAGGCGGGTGGGGGGAAAGAGCATTCGCTCTCTGGACTGCTGGCTGCAGCAGGCAGATCGGTCTCTTCAGCGTTGGAAAGGCGTTGTTGAAAGGCGACTGAACCACAGCAACCACCAGATTTTTAATGAATTTGAAAGAGATCACAAATTATGGTAGAAGCAATAGATACCCTTAAGGGCTCAATGTTTCAATAGGAGATACATAGAAGATTCAGTCTATTCGATTTTAATTACATTTCAAAAGTTTTTCTAATAAAAAACTGTCTTGGGATCCATCTTTTTTAAAGGAAAAATATAGATAAACATAAATTAATGTAAAAATATATAAAGAATAGTCATTCTTGGACTTCAGTTATCCGAATCAATATATTCTTAAAACACAGACGACTTGAAATCCAGCTGATAGAATGGATCTTTATAGGTAGAAGCAATATATACCTTTAAGGCTCAACTTTCGATGGGAGATACATAGATTAAAAGGTTTTTCTTGTAAAAAACTAGTCTTAGGACATATCTTTTTTAACATAAATATATATAAATATAGATAAATAATATAATAAATAATATAATAATAATATAGATGGAAAGATATATAAAGAATAGTCATTCTTGGTCTCCAATACTCATTATAAATATATTCCTAAAAGTCACACATGTTGAAGTCCAGCTGATAGAAAGGATCTTTATAGGTAGAAGCAATATATACCTTTAAGGCTCAACGTGTAAATGGGAGATACATAGATGATTCAGTCATTTCATGTGGATTTCACTTAAAAAGTTTCTTGTAAAAAACTTGTCTTGGGACATATCTTTTTTACAGTTAAAATATAGATAAATAAATTTATGGAAAAATATATAAACAATAATTATTTTTGAGCTCTTCAATACTCTATATAAATATATTTTAAAAACACACAAGACTTGAAATCCAGCTGATAGAAAGGATCTTTATAGATAGAAGCACCCTTAAGGCTCAAGATACATAGATGGTTCAGTCCTTTGATGGCATTTAAAAAGTTTTTCTTGTAGAAGAAAGACTTGAAATCTAGCTAATAGAAGGATCTTCTATAGGCATTTTATATACCATATCTGTACTACCACAGGAGGCTTCTGCCTCACGAAATTTCTTCTCTTAAAAACCCCCATTTTCCTGCGTTTCAAACCTTTAATTTATATCATAATACCCTAACCCTTCAAAAGGGTATTCCCAAGAAAATAAAGAAAATCGAAACGAGTCAGAGGGAGAGACAGAGGCAGAGGCATTGCCATCGGCACAGATTCTGTGTATCTGTGTGTGGAGGTAACATGGCTTTTGATCTTTGTTGCGTTTGTTTGTATACAATTTGATGGCTCGTGTTGATGGATCGTAAACGTGGAATGATGTTCGCGCTGTTGCCGCTGTTTCCCTGATGCCTGATGCCTGATGCCTGTTCCCGGGCTGTTCCCTGTGTGCCCCCGATGATGATGACGACGATGATGATGACGATGACGGCACAGTGTGTCTTTGATCATTTGCCGCGCCAGTTGGCAGTCAAAATGTTAATTTATATGTTCTGCTACCGCCTACAATCAACCAAAAAAAAAAAAGAAAAGGCAGCAGCACTAACAACTTTACAAACATGTTTGAGATTTTTATTACTGTGTGAAAATGTTCGATTCTTCCGTAAAACACACACACACACACAGGGGGGGGAAAGGATCAAACAAATTTATGGGTGGGCGCGATCTGATCTGAAATGCCAGATCATTCGGACAGCGGGGCAGGCAATTTTTTCATTGTGATTGATGCCCCCAGAACCACAAAAACAGCAGCATCCCGGCGAAATAGAGAGAGAGAGAGGGAGAGATTTTTTTGATTATCGACAAGTTGTCGGTGGATTTTTATTATTGTGGAAATCGATCAAAACCACTTGACGGCTGATCAAAGACCTTTACGCACGATATTTTCATTTAATTTTAATGTGCATTATTTAACGTATATTTTTGGTATTTTAAGGAAATTAAAATTTTAACTGAAACCCGAGAAAGAATTATATTTAAGATTGAAAATGGATGGGGCAATCAAATATGTGATTGTGATTCCTTAAGAAAAGGAAAGGAAGAAGGCTACAATTTACCTTTTTATTATGCGAAATATATCATAAATAATAATTCCACATCAACTGAAATTCTGCTAAATAATTCTAGAATTTAAGATCATGCAATTTTCTTTCATAACTTGTTTTTTTTTTTTCTGGCAATAAAGCAAAATTTTCGCGGCACCAAGCCAAAGATAAATCCATATGAAGATGGCAGACCATCGCTTTGTCCTCCAATAACAAGCCAGAGCAGCAGCAGCAGAAGAGGAGGAGGAGGAGGTGATGGCCTGGAACCTGCCACAGGGACAGGGACAGGGACTGGTCCGAGGTCTGAATTGTCTGGCGGTTGCCTTGGCCACATACTCGTTGATGGTGGAGTCGTCCGTGAGGCCAGAATGGAACATTTGTCTCGCTTAATTTAAACAGATTTGCGAGATTATTGTCATGCCGACGTTAAGGCAACAATTTCAATTCCGCGCGCGCAAAACAGAGAGAGAGGGAGAGAAAACCCAGGAGAACTGGCAGTGCCAGCTGACAGATAAAGACAGAGAGTAGAGAGCGAATTAAGAGTCTTGGGCATCGGGATTGGGATTGGGGGATTGGGGGCAACCGACCGCAACGATGGGGCATGGAATGAATGCAAGGCAAATCTCCGCCTGACAGCCGCGAGGAGCCGGCACTTTGAATGTGGAGCCACAGTCACAGTCGCAGTCGCAGCCACAACCGATTTCCGAGTGGGATGTTTGGATAGCAGAACAAATTTGCAGAAAAGAAACCCCCAGTGACAAGGGGATCTTCTGAAGAATGCTGCTGCTGCTGTTGCTGCTGGGAATGATGATCATGATGATGATGATGATTCTCTGCACAAGCCATATTTAAAATGCTTTGAAGTTGAACCGATGCACGATCCACGATCCACGACGAGTAGGTACTGGAGGTGTCTGGGGCGCGAAATCAACTCATGTTTGAATGACACGATCAGAGCATGTTCTCCAGATGAAGCCAAGCCGGAGAGGCACCGCCTCTGGCTTTTAATTGTTAATGAAAGCAGAGCAAGCCCTGAGGGGGGGAAACCCGAGCCGCTGCCACACACTTGACAGCAGCCCCGGAGACAGAGTTGAGTCTAACTGCCACCGACAGGCTACTCGTTTCCGGAAGTTTATCTCTATCGCAGCTGCTGCTCCTTCAAAGTCATTAGACTCTGTCACTCTTGTCAGTCATTCAGTCAGTCGTAGTCTCTGGTTTGGCACTGCTTGAATGGCTTTTGGAAGTGCCCATTCGAGTTGGGTCTGGGTTTGGGTTTGGGTTTCCCCCCGTCCCCCCTCGAAAGACAGACATTTGATCTGCCCTGTCAGTGGCCCAGAGCCATGTCAAATTGTGTTTGGACACGATGTTTGTATATATCGTGTCAGTGGATCCACTCAAGTGGATCTAATGCACTGTGAAATGAGACAGGCATTAGCAAGGATCTTTTCAGATCTGCTATACCCTTTGGCAGAGAGAGAGAACTCTTTGAATGGCCATTACTTTGGAGTAAAGAGAACTAATTGGATTTTAAATTGTTGGCAATGATTGGTGCTATTTTATTTGTTTGATCAATGGAGAGTTGCTTTGCTTCTTTGGAATGTTTGATGTACAGTCTTCAGATAGTCGTAGTCGTGCACTAAAAACGTATGGAAAGAAAGAACAAATAGAATTATATTTATAAAAATTAATTATATATTCTATTTTGTATTTATTACTAGGCGGCAAGCCTTAAAGACAATACCAACTCACCCAATACGAGTAAAATTCAAATCAAATAAAGATATATTTTTTATATTTCAAAGAAAATAATATTTCCACATTTTTAGGTTCTTTAACACCTGGACTTGATTTACTATAAATTTCGTAATATTCTTCAAAAATAAAGCCCTTTTATCCCATCAGTTTCTTGGTTTGGATAACTCTTTTGGGACTTACAATGATTTTCAATCTTATTTTCTAGTTTTGATCTATGCTTCAATGATTTTTCCACGAAATCATTTAAAAATATTTCTCGTCCCCACAATTATTCAAAAAATAATTCTGTAAAAATAAAAATAAACTAAATTACAGAATGTTGCGCCTTTTCCGTGGTCTTGCGGGGCAACTGGTAAACCGACGTCGTTTGGGCCTTATTCCCCAAACCGAAACGAAGAATGGGGCAGTCAAGGAGTTGAAAGAGCCAAAAAATGGAGAGATGGAGCTGAAAGAAGCAGTCAAGGGAGAGATGGAGCTGAAGGAAGCAGTCAAGGGAGAGAAGCAGCTGAAGCAACCTCCACCCAAAAATCAGGAGCTAAACCAACCAATCCTCAAAGGTCAGGCGCTAAACCAACCAATCCTCAAAGGTCAAGCGCTAAACCAACCAATGCTCACCATGAGTGAAGTGCAACAATCCCTCGATAAAGAGAAAGAGGAGCTACTGCCCAAACCCGACGACTCCAAGCTGAGCGAACGCTATCTGAAGTTCCGGGAAAAGCTACGATCGGAGGCGCCCGTGACATGCCTGCCGAAAGGTGCACCACATCCGGCCCACGAGAAAGATCCCCTGGTGCCGTGGCCTAACAATACCAATCCACATACCGGAGAAGTCGGTGGACCGGCGGGACCAGAGCCCACACGCTATGGCGACTGGGAGCGCAAGGGACGCGTTACAGATTTCTAGACAAAAAACAAAAGAGACAATGAAATTTTCACCTCTGTTTGGACAAATTTTGTGATTTATTAGACGTGTTAACAACAGAAGCACTTAAAATTTGTTACACTTGAGTATGGCATTTCTCCGGGCCTCGGGCCACGGTAGCCAACGGGTGGTGGATCGGTGGATCAAGATGGGAATGGTGGAGAGATCCCTTTCAATCTGTCACTGGTTGTGCTTCTGCGAAGGCATTACATAAATTTCCATTGTGTGATTTCTTTGTGGTTTCTGGTTTATGTTCATGAATTGATAGTCCCCTGCCCCGGCCCCGGCCCCTTCTTTCGTTGTCTATCGAAAGGGTTCTCAGAATAGAGTGCTGGCTGGGGTCTACCTCCATTATTTATGGTTCAGAGGCACACAGAATCGTGCCCAAGTTGAAGTGGAGTGTGGAATCGTTTCGATTCATTTGAAATTAAGGCGACAGTTTACGTGATTTTTATTAGAAAAACTTCTGGTTGCCATCTAATTTTGTAGCCCGAGTGCGTCGGAGAAAGGGGTTTCTAAATGCCATAAATTTCTTCGTTAAGGCCCTGCCGTCTCTCTCTGTCCCTAAAAACATTTTTGTGGTTTGTTCGAAAAAAGATTTGCAGCTGTTTTGTGGTCTCTAGACTGGATACAAATAGAAATTATTGAAATGCCAACAAAAGCTTCTAAATCTTAAGAAAGAGAGGGTTCTTGCTTGGAACAAATCTACTTTATTTAAGTCAAATCGAAAACAATCTTCTTGGGATCCCAATGAACGGCATAAGCAATTCTGTTCTTCAGGAAACCGATGATCATTGCGCTTAGGAGGCAGCGCTTGCCTCATGGGCAATATTCTACGGGCTTTTGGAGTCCTGAGAGCAGAGGTGATGCGATAGGTTTCGACCTTCGAGAACTTTAGCGATCCTCCGCGTTAGCGATTCTTCAATTGAGGCAGAGTTGGACACAGAACACCGCAAAGACCCCCCTGATGAGACCTGATAAGGCGGTGATGAGCCAGGCTGAGGTTTTGCCTATGGTTTTGTATTTTGGTTCGATTGAATCAAGACATCATTTAGGCATCTAAAAAGGTTTAAAAAATGGTGTTATATCCGAAAATTTGCACACTTTCATATGCATAGGAGCCTTTTAAAATACTACCCTTCGACGAGGTTTGGTAACCAGCCAACGTATCTCTGGAACTCCTCCGTTATTCAGCCAATTCCATAGCCAATTGGCGGGCTATGAGTTGAGATGTTTCAGCCTGTTCCAGTCAATCGCCTTCGACATATCCCACACCCCCATATCATTACAAACTATTTACACATTAAATCAAATGCCGATGTCGGCAGATCGCCAAAGTCAAAGATCAATCACAAGCGAACAAAATGGGGAATCAACGATGAAAACCTAAAGAAAAAGGAAAAAAGGAAAAACAAAAGATAAATTCCGCATAAATTCCAGGAAATCCACAAAATGCTTTAATGTACAACAAAACCGAAATACCAAACGAAATTACATCCAGCAAAAAGCAAAAAACCAAAAACCATCCGACAACTTGCTCAATAGACGCGCGAAGAGACGACTTCCTCTACCCCAAAGTCATCCATCAAATGCGATTTTCCCCGACCAAGCGGATCGATGGATATGGTATGGGAGAGGGGGCAGGGGCAGCAGTAATTATTTCGTCTATTTTATTTTTAAACGAAATTAACGTGTTGTTGCTGTTGTTGTTAATGTGTTTTTATTACGTGAAAAGTAAGAAAAACACACGCACACCGACACCGACAGCGACTCTTCTCGAGATCATTTTATAACCCCCTACCAAAAAAAAAACCGATCCTCCATGCTGCGCGGTCTGCGTCGCAAAGTAGTAGGCGCTGATTGATAGAACAAAGTGAAAATCAAATAAAAAACAAAACATAAAATCCTAGGCAAAACCCGAATAACCCATTCCCACATTCCCTCACCGACTGTGTTGTATGCCACATTGCGGTGCAAGATCAAAGACCGCCCCTCGATCTGTAATGACAGCTTTGATCATTGTTTTGCCTTTGATTTTTTCCGGTTCGGTTGCCTTTTCTTTCGCACTCTCTTGGGGATCTTTTCGGCCCAATCTGGCCCAATGCATACATATATAACCATCCCATCCGATCCGATCCAATCCGATCGGATCAGATCAGTCTCTTTGCCTCGCCTGTTGGCCTGAGTACTTGGAAAGTGTTGGGAATGGGTGGGAACGACGACTGTTTACGATCAATTTCGCGCCTACTTGAGAGATTTTTTTTTTTGCTTTTGGCTGAAGATCGACAGAGATCGTTTGCTCCAGAAAGGGGAACTACAAAATTTCGGATATGCATGAGAGAAACACGAAAGGCAATTACTGAAGGAATGGATAGAATAAATTATTCTGCAATGAATGTTCATACTCTTAGGGTAATTACAGGGTATATTTCAGGGCGAATTTAAGCCCACCCTCAATAAGATATCTCTAAGATAAATGATCTAATTAAAACCTTCACTTTCCCAGACATATGCCATTAAACACTCAATCAAAAGAGCTTTACGAAATACCCCCAAAAACCATGATTCATACTTTAAAATCTACTTCCAAAAGTTAATTGATAAATATTTCAATATATTTCGTAATTTATGCCCTGAAATCGAGACACCTGACTCTGATTGATATCGCTCAAGTGATTACAAAACGCTCAAGCCGATAACCATTCAATCATTCATTGATTAATTGTATTAAATAAAAGCCACAAATCGATTCTCATACATAAAACACAAAAAAAAACAAAAGAAAAAACAAGGTAAAATTCAATAAGCTAATCAATCGGCTGTATAAAAATTCTTGGAATTAAGCAAATAAAAAGAAAAGGAATAAAACAGGTGCCAAAGTAAATTTATTGTCTAACAAAAATATATTTAAAATTCTGAGAAGATTTAAAATGTTGCAAGTTCCCAAAAGTCTGTGTACGGAAACAGTGCTATGTCATGGGCAAATAATATTTCACACAGGAAAGAAAATGTAAGAAAAATTACCACTGCCACGGATCGGGGGATGGGGGGGGTGATTGGGTGTTTCGGAAGTGGAAAATCAACAATATATATGACCAACTATTATGTTATTGTGTGAACGTGCAGTGATTCCACCAGCCAGGCTTTTCTTTGGTGGAGAGTACAGAGCCCACCTTTCCAGGAACCCCCAAGCAGCAGGGTAGCGGGCGGCTGAACGGGTGGATGGGTGGCTGGGTGGATGGTTGAATGGGCGTCTTATCGAAGCGTATAACATATATCATTGACACTTTGACATTGCCAGGGCGGTGTGCGAGGCGAGGTGGAGAGGTCCATGGAGAGGCCATGACCAACAGGATTTTAGTACTTTTCAAAATGGCACTTAATCATGGCAGCCGCCTGGCGCAGGAAAATGCGGAAACTGGCAACAAGGACACACACACCGACACACCGAAGACGTAATCGCATGTGTTCACGCTTGAAAGGATAACGACGACATGGTCGGGAATTGGTATTGGGAACTCCTGCTGACTTCCACACTCACTCTGCCTTTGCCTCTCTCTTCTATCGACCAAAGCGAAACAAGATTAATGACTTGGCAAAAGGAACTCTCTGTGGGAGAGAGTGTGTGTAGCCTGGGTGGCTGCTGCTGGCTGCTCCTTTTCTGGCATTCGATAAATTGTTTGCTACTTGGACTGTCATTAGTCGAAAAGTTTGTTTGCTATTGTGTTAAGTGTTATTTGTGTGCTCACGTCCAAGTGTCAGGGCTCTTTGGCATTTCTCTTCTTCCTCTGTCGTTTATCACTTTCGCTTTTACTCCTCCTCGGCAGTAAGTTCCGCCTGTCATAGATGACTCACACCTTCTCTGATGACCGCAACAACAACAACAGAAAAAAAACAACAAAAATTTGTGAAAAATTGAGTCAAGTTCAGGAAATATAAAGAAACTAATGATCGCTGAGTGACTTTGTGGAAAATCTATCTACTAGATTTATTGTCTTTGGCCCAGAGAGGGGTTCCTAACGGATGACACTAGCCAGGCAGGCGGCTAGGGATTTATCATGGAAATGCTGGGAATGTGTAGAGAATGAAAGGGGGGGTTTAATGTGGTTAGGGAATAGTTTGTGTTATTTCAAATCACCAGATTCTGTGGCATCCACAATGTGAAATATGTTCATGCTGAGTCATAAAAAACGATCATATTTAATGGATCATTATTGAAGCTAGAAGGAACGAATGAACCTGGCTTTTGAACCATTCGAATGCTGTATACTTGTGTCCTTTCAAGTAGAACTTACAGATAGCCTGGAACCACTTCCAAGAGCCACCCACTACCAAAAAAATTTATGGGCCTTTGTCTTTGGTTTTAAAATCCCGCGACACGTGTCTGATTCAAATTGGTGGTGGAATACTTCTACCAATCAATAATTTAAATTGCTTTAATCACAAACAAATTTTGAATACATTTTTTAAAGCCCACAGAGTTGTAAATCATATATTTTTCAATTTCGGGCCATACACAAAAATAGCAATAAATTCATTAGCGAAGGAGAAAACATAAGCAGGAAGCTGGTAGGGGCGCAATATACAACGATTTACAACCTAAATCAAATGCAGTTGAATGACCAGCACAGACGCCATAAATCACGCTGGGCCAGTGCTCCAGACGATGGTCCCTGCCCGGCCCTCCAGTTGCTGCCATCATCCAATATTTTAGAGAAGAAAGCCAAAAACAAAGAAGACGAAACTGGGGAAAAGGAAAAAGATTTCAAGAAAAGGGCAAATGCAATATGTTATCAAATAAAAATGTAACAAGCGACGACAGAGGATGGTGGCGAGAACCCCGTAGCCCGTAGCCCGAACCCCGACCCCAAAAAGAAGTCCCGAAAAGCAGGAAAGGCAAGGAAAGCAAAGAAATGTGTTGCACAAATTTATTAGAAACCCTAACTAACGAGCAATATCCTTAGTGGATGGATGGCGATGGTCGAGATGGCAATGGAGTGGGAGGATGAGGGATGCGGATGCGGATACGGATGAATGCCATGGATGGAATGAAAATCCAAGT